CTGCGATGGTCGGGCCGACCATCGCCGCCGGCAGGCCAAGCAGTCCCGGCCCCTGCCGAACGGAGTTGCCGGCGCAGCGAAGTGGAGCTGGCCACTCCGTTTGGCGGAAGGGCGGGCCTGCTTGTTATCATTTGAGGCCGGTCCGCCTATGGACCAAAGTACTCCTATCAGAGCCCTGCAACGAGCGAGCCGGGAGGCGCTTGCGACGCCGCGCCACCTATCGGGGTAGGCACCGAGCGGCTCAGTTTGTTTCCTAGTGAGCCGAGCGCGGCTCAGTTCACCAGCCGCCTACTGAGCCGGCGAAGCTCGTTTGGGGTGACAGAGACAGACGTATCTAGCAGCGGTGAGTGCGAGAGAGACGTGAGAGCTCAGCTGACTCCCGGCGTCGCCTTGTGCGGCTGGTAGACCGTCGAGACTCCCAGCTCGAGAGACTTTGCAGAACCTCTACCTACCCCACCTCACACCACGTTTTGGAAACGAGCATCGCGGCGCTCGCTCGTTACAGGGCTCTGACTCCTATGAAGGAGCCGCCAGTCCAGGGATGTGCCCCACCACCGCCACGCTGTCACGGCCCGTGACATTGGCGCCGGTGTGATAGGCAACCTTCCTGCCTCCTTCCCGCCTCTCCACTCCACCCAGCGTCCGGCCGCCGCGCCAGCGACACTAGCGCTAGCGCGTGAAGCAGTGGTCAGTCCAGCCCAGACCGGCGAGCAGCACGGACGCGCGCGTCGCGCAGCTCAGTCGGACGTCAACCAAGTGCCACGGCCAGCCGCCGTCAACATCGGCTGTGTCCCGTCCCCATCTCTCGCCATCCAGCATTCATCATGCTCTTCAAGTCGCCCATAAGGTGTGTGTCGGCGGCGACGGCTCTTCAAAAGGTATTTTATTCTCTCCGGCAACATATTTATATTTGTTGTTGCGCAGGGCATCGTTCCTCGGGACGACTGACGTCATGATGGGCTAGGCCCTCACCTGCGCCCTTGCCCTATGATGCCACCGCCGACACCACCACCATGTCCTCATCTTCATCATCTTCGCCTCTGGGCGCCACCATCACCACCAAGTTCCTGGCCATCGCCGACGTGCGTTTGGGCTGTCGAGCCGCCCCCCCCCCCTCCTCTTTCCATCGGCCGGTGCCGTGACGTCGTGTCCGGCGCCGCCCAACTTCAAGACCAGCTGCTGCCTGTGTGTGTGTGTGCCCTTAGTGCTTTGCACTTCTCTACGTACTCTTTGAGACGTAATGTCTGTACTGTCTGTCATGTCTGTACGTAATGTCTGTGTACGTGACGTAGTGTGCAGTGTGTGTGTATTCGTTTCCGGTAGGAGGCGCCGCCCCCGGTTACGTTGTTCTTCTTCTTTTCCTGCCCCAGTTGCTGTATGCTGTTTGCAACTCGGTTACCGGTGAGTGCACTCTATTTATCTAAAATCCTTGGGCCCAGGGTACCTGTTATTGTATTGTACTGTTGCATTGTTTTAACCGTACTAAATAGCAGTGTTTGACAGTGTTTTCGTGTCTATTTCCGGTTTCACCGGCCATACTCTGTTAATAGAGTTTCATTTGTAATTCTTTGGGTATGTCCCTGAATGCCAAATGTCTACCCTTGTTTATGGGTTTAAACTAGCTATATGTACGCCAGACCACGTCTCGCGTAACAGGCTTCGCGATATCTCACGAAACACTGTAACGCTGCGACGCGCCTGGCGCACATATAGCTAGGCCTGCGGCGCTGACACCCGAGACGAGTTAAGGAGAGGGTACAGGGGCACAGGGTCTTCCGGGCCCAAAATTTGACATACTCGAACCGTTTGTGGGGGTCTTCTTACTCTAATATTCAATGAGTTTTGGTATAACATTTTAATCACAACACAATGTAGCTAGTGTTGGTTAAATTAACAGAGTTTGTGTACTGTGGGAGAACTTCAACTTATTTTTTCCCCACTCAGAGAATCGTAAAATGATAAGTTTGATGCTCAACAAAGATAACTAAAAGAATATTTTGTCTTTGGTTTTATCATTATAATAGTTTTTATGTCTTTTTTGAAAATGTGTTTTGTTGTAATTACATGGTGCTTAGGAGCTACTTTTTCAGAAACTCAAAGTGAAAGCAAATCATTTCATCTTTGATATTGATAGGGAACCACGATGGTTGATTGAATCCCTCACTGATGAGCTCATTATTATTTTTAGTACCAGATTGTGCACAATAATTTTTGCATTGCAAAAGCAGGTTAGTAAAATATTGCTGTGCTTTGACACTCAAACTCTGTATGGATTTGAGTTTGTCTTTCATGATTTCTTCTGCTCTATGCAGCATTTCCCAAGAGCTAGCACCAAGATAAATTTTTAGTTGAACATTTTGACGTTCAACACACACTGTGGTCAAACTTTTATTCTTTTCGTGAATTTTAATACTGAGTGTCAGCCCACCAATATGGAGCGGATCACAACTTGTTTTTGAATTTTATCCATTTTTGATGTGATTGAAAACTTCTCCAGATATAAGCACATTGAATTCTTCCACGGATATTCTTATCCATGGCCTATTACCTTTGCAATTAGAATCTCCCACCAGCATGATGTACGGATTGAAATATTTGCAATCCATTCCAATTCTTAATTGCTTTGAACTATTTTTTGTGAGAGCAAAATCTCTATAGTCAGCCTCAAGAGGAAATTCTGACACTACAGTAGGGTTAAGAGGGACACTCACTTGGAGTGGAGCCAATTCTAGCTGAAGCAACACATCAGGACTGATCGATTGATCATTATTGCAAATTGCATCTAAATCAAAAGAAATTACACCAGCAGGGGCAGAACCTGCAACTTCAGGGGTGGGACGGAGGTAGGCAGGTGGGTATGGGCCATCTCGATCATCCACTCCGCGCTTTGCAGCTGGTAGACCAAAGTCAGAGAATCGTTTGAATGCCGTGTTGACTATGCGACAAGACAGACAGAAGTGATGTCTGACCCTCTCACCACCGTCTCCCTATATACTAATCGAGTGGCGCCACTAGCGCCACCTATCGGGCGAACGGAACTAAAGAACTAAATAATGAACTTGGTTCAACTTGTTTACACTCTCACAAAACACATACATTGTAAAAAAACATTTTTTGTGGTTTTTCCAACTTTTAATCGTTATTCCATTTGGAATTCGTACCAAAGCTCAACTCGTTTTGCGTTTAGAGCTGCACATGTGTGCAGAGGGAACATGAAGTGTTCAATGCAGTGTGACCGCACATTAAGTTTAGGGAGTTTATCCAATTTTGGACAACCAAGTTTTGTGATGTCAATAATTATAGTGTGAGGCAAAAACTCTTGAAGCGGGCACTTTTTTTGCTCTCCCTTAACATAAAGAGATACGTGTATGGACGAGTGATTGATTGTAAGACGCCAGCACAGGCGCTGTAAGGTGTACTTCCACAGTTCCACCTCAACCCGTGAATTTTGTTGGTGACGTAACTGTTTTCTTTCATTATATCTGAACTTAGGGGCTGAAAGGGGGTATCGACGAAAACAGGAAGGGCCAAAAAAGATGGAAAATATTTTTCTTTATGATCTTCAAAGGAGTAACTGGTTAATGTAGAGGTCTTTGGGCGAAAATTTCGTCCGTTTTGCTCTATCTCTCACCGTTTGGGCGCTATAGTGAGTTTCTCTCACAAAAGTGGACCAAAAGTAATTAAATTAATTTTCGAAAATATTGGATGGTCTCCTAAGGGGTAACTCGTGAAAGTAAAGTTCTTTGGGCGAAAATTTCGTCCGTTTTGCTCTATCTCTAACCGTTTACGCGCTAGAGGGTCTTTATAGACGAAAATAAGCTAACTAGCTATATGTACGCCAGACCACGTCTCGCGTAACAGGCTTCGCGATATCTCACGAAACACTGTTACGCTGCGACGCGCCTGGCGCACATATAGCTAGGCCTGCGTCGCTGAGACCCGAGACGGGGTAATGGGAGGGTATTAGGGAACAGGGCCTTCAAAATTTGACACACTTCCAGCATTTGTCGGGGACTTATTACTCTTCAAAAATTAGGGCATTGAAACTTCTGCTGTTCAATAACGGTTTTCATTAAAAGTTCGAATTTGGACACTTTGTTGAGTAAAAATCAACGTTTTAGTGATACTCTAGGGACCCTTAAGCCCCAAAGAAAGGGTGTGGTTCGACCCGTAATGTGTGGTTTAAGTATTATTTCCTTTAAATCATGTGACATGAAGCCTTTTTTACGATTTAATAGACCATTTTGACTTTTTCACGTTGTTTTCGCCAAGAAATGCCCCATATCGCCGAAACGGTACAAGATAGAGCAAAACGGACGAAATTTTCGCCCACGGTGTCTACTTTCACGAGTTACCTCTTAGGAGCCCATAAAAAAATATCTGAAAAAAGATAATATTTTGCAGCCTATGGTTTTTGATTTTTTAAAACGTCAATTTTTGAGCTAGAATGCTCATCTTCGAACTCGATCTGTCTTTTTATGATACAAAACGACCCTGAAATTCCCAGATCGCTCTCTCAAATCTTTCTCGAGTTATCGTGCGGACAGACAGACACATACTTCAAAGTGTTCCAGATGAAGTGACAAAGCTCACTATATTTTCTGATTGCTGCTCTGGACAAAATCGTAACAGCACTGTATGTATGATGATGTTCATCGCTTTACAAGAGCACCCTTCACTACAGGAGATCAATCATATTTTCTTGATTCCTGGGCATACATTTATGCCTGAAGTAGATGGGAAACATGCTGTTATTGAAAAATATAAGAAACGTCTGGAAAAAATCAATGTTCCTGATGAATGGTACACAGCCGTCGAACAGGCTGGAAGGACTGATCCTAAAAACTTTCCTGATGGAAAATTTAAGGTCACCCATGTCACATCATTCTACGATGTAGCTTCTCTTTCCAAGGAAGAGCTAATTAGAAGACACAAATGTACAGACAAGGAACCCTTCAGTTATCTTGATACTCACTGGTGGAAGTACTGCAAGAATAACATGGGCATGGTTCAGGTCAAGTCATCATTCTGTGAAGATGCAGAATTCCGGTCTCTCAGCTTCTTGAGGAGAGGAGTCCGAGGTGACCGCTTGAAGCAACTCCTTCCATGCCTCCAAACACTGCCAGCATCCCAGCCAATTTCTGTGGAAAAGAAGAAAGACTTGATTAGTTTACTCTGCTACCTCAACGAAGAGTTCCACCCTTTCTACCAGAACCTTCCTGTGAGTAGCACAGTTCACGAGCTACATCCTCAATCCCCTCCCCTGCAGTTGGAGGAAGATGATGACGACCCAACAGAATGAGCTCTACCCGCTGTCAGGTGTAATGTTCCTATTACTTAGTTTATTTTATATCGTATTCAGTATGTACCAAATTATTTACTCTAGTATGCACCAAATATTATTTTCATAAAATGTTTACCTATTCAAAGTATATATTAGTTAAAGGAAGTTAATAGGATTTTTCTAGTCAGAAATATTGCATGTCTAAATGAATTTATTTTACTACTTAAAAGTCACTACCCAGTGTTCCTCATTTGAATACTGCAAGCTTATGCATTAGTATTACCCATTATTAATTTGATTGTTCCATGTATTTTTCTGTTACATCTATGTGCCCATTCCAAATCTATTTATTACATTATGAACTTTACTGTCAGGGTAATTTATAGCTTTATATATCTAATTTAAGCATGTATAAATTTCACTTCCACTCTTATTGCAGATTTGATACAAATTAAGTTTAGTCAGAGGCACTAATTTTATATTGTAAACTTATTTTACACATGTATGAATGTTACTTTCACTTATGTTAATTATTAAGGCAGATTTATAGCATTGGTGCATGAATTCTTTGTCACAGCAATTAATTTCCTTCAATTTTTTTTCTGCATGTTAAATTTTACTTTCACTTTTGATACTTTGGAAGAATATGACTGGTATATTTTTGTTCTCCTCGAAGAATATATAAGATTTTATAGTAAAATAACTACACTCCTAAGTGGCGCTTACTCACTTGGATATAAATGTTGCGAATTCTTCGGAGTAGATGTGCACCTCACTTCTGACAAACTTATCATCACATTCCACCTCTTCTCTTTACCACCAACAGGACAGCGAAACATCTATCTTTACAAAAGAAAACGAGACACTTTAATCCGCATAACAATCATAGACCACAGAGAGATTGATTCTTGTTTCAAAAGGTGAATTATCTTATGGTTATGAGGTCAGAAATTGGACTGTATGATGGTTAGAGCCAGTGAGGTCATGTAGCAGTGTGGCATTAACATGCCTCAATGAATTATTTATGATATTGACCTTTTCTGGAATTACTGTGAACACAGAATGACACTCTGCTCTGAGGATAGCAAAAAACTAGCCGAAATGCTACTTTTTAGGCTGAGCGACCATGCTTGCAAGCGTTGTTAGGAATACTTAAAAGATATGTCCGGGCGGAACTATTCTGGTTGGTCTGACGCAAGAGTGAAATTTTACTTTACTGCAATTTGATGATGGAATACGCAACGATCGTTATCAATTCTTGATGTTTACCGATTAAAATAAAACCAAGCCACGGCAGACACCTGTGTTCAATACACTAACACCAGCTGATTCACTCACTGCCCTCTGACCTCTGCCTTCTGCTTCGTCGTCTGCTCGTCTTTCTTGTCTTCTTCTTGCCCTCGCCTATCAGCTGATGCATCAAAATCAAAGCGATCGAATGTATAAATTTTAAAAAATACCCGAAATGCGATGAGGATTTATTGTAAATTTGTTGTTTACGCTGAGTGTAATCGGAACGTGCGTGGAGAAGGATTAACAGAGCTTCAGTAACGAGGGGGTGAGGTACATAAAACAAAACGGTCGTCTAGTCGTCTGCTGCAGCAGCTGTGACGATGAATTTCTCATTCAATAATTACTGCCCTATGTTGGATAGGTGTTATTGTCAGTGGTCAGGCATTATCGCCAGTCTCTCTAGCAGACAACAACTCGATTAGAGAAACAACAACTAACCACGATCACGAAAGTGTTTCGAAAAAAATATAAAAATTAGTTGTTCAAAGATAACGTTCTGTAAAATGACGGGAGGACTCTCTTCTTGTTTCCAATCATTCTTTCGCGTTAAAAGTGCGAAGGCGATGTCGAATTGGATGTATTTTTCAAGACTTAAAACACTACAGCAAAAGTAAACTTTCAACTCATCACCATAACCCTGAAAACTGATGGGAATGCAATGCTGTTGTCTGGTAAGTGAACAGATTTGCCTATTTTACCCTGATACATTTCTGACTTTCATGGCAAGGCATTCATAATTAGATTTTTTACTACAAAAAACAATTTGTCAAAATTATTGAGGTTTGGAAGGTAGTCTGTAGGAAGATATCCCACACAGTTTTTAGCCGTATAGAGCAGAAACACACACAGAGATGTGGATCTTTGATCAAAAATAACAGAAGGATTATGGTCTGTAAGTGGAATTTCAATGTAAAATTATACATAGCGTACACCCTTTGTCAAACTTGGGGTTAGACGTTCTACTTTGTCAAGACATTCTATGGACATTCGTCACTTGGTCAAAATGTTTGTGGACATTCGCCTCTTGGTCAAAACATCTGTGGACATTCGCCACTTGATCAAAATATATGTGGACATTCGCCACTTGGTCAAATTTTCTGTGGACATTCGCCACTTGGTCAAATTTTCTGTGGACATACGCCTCTTGGTCACATTGCACTTGGACATACGCCAATTTGTACCCCATGTGTAATTCAGGAACTATTATAGATATTGACATGCCGTTTGATTCTACATGTGTATTGCTTTATTTTGTATCACATACCAAAAAAAACTCAAATTCACCAAAATGTGGACATACGCCACTTGGTCAAAATTTTACTGAAATGAGAAACACTTGCAAATGAGTATGATATGCTAAATCAAACAATTTGATCACTTTCTTCATTCAGCGATGTATTTCACCGTATATTATACTACGAATGACTGCCCGACACATCGGCACGGAACCCATACCCACTAATAACCTACTATATATCGAAATACATTGTTGAATGACATAAGTAATTAGATTTTCCGATTCAGCGTAACAAAATCTAGTTCCTACAGATTTTCCTGTTTTAAATTACCT